GGGTGTAACCGAACAAAGCCTAATACATCTTTACACTAGTTTTTTTGTTCTTGGAGGAAATCTTCACACTAGTTTTTCAGTTTCTACTGCATTTTTGTGATGCGTCTCTTTATACTAGTTTCCACTGTATTTTCTATTGACTTTGTTGCTGTGTTTTTCTACCACTCTTGACTGATAGAATATATCTAGTGAGTGTACTGCATACTGCCCAAAGCACTACTGCATCCACTACAAACGAAATAAAGAAATTCCTAGTAGGAAAAAAACTACTACTAATAACTAGAACATGGATTAATAAGAAAATTTTAAGCATATACTGAGGAGGCAGCCTAGCCAATCTTTATAAATGAAAGACGGTGCTCCAGCCAGATTCATAGGAAACAAATACACAGCTATCATGTGGTTTCTCAGACTTAGGACACCACCATGTACAAGGTTGAGCTCTCCAATTTGCAGAGCTCAGACAATTTATTGCATTTCAAGTTTTCAACAGCCTTGATGAAACATAGAACAGACCACATGTATATGCAAAGTTCCAGCTCAACACTGAAGAAGTTCATATCCCCCCAAAAAACACCGAAGAAGTTCGGACAAAACGCACAAAAACACCATACGCTTCCCATCCGTAGCCACCAGTAGCCATGGTTTTGACACCATAAGAATATGCGAAGTCCATAAACAGAAGGAAGACGCAAAAAAAAAAAAAAAAAACTTCACCCTTCTGCTTTGATACCTTAGCTTTGATCTGTCCTCGATGACCTTTGATCTCTCATGTCCGGGGTTTACCGTACAGATTCGTGTACACGATCTTTGTCCGGTGGACCAGGATCAAGCTCAGGGCGGCAGCAATGATGCAGAACCCTGACATGATCATTGACGAGATGAAGAAGCAGATGGAGCCCTCGCACTTCAGCGCCGGAGCGACGTCGGAGACCATTCCCAGCAATGTTGAGTGGTTATGGTTAGCTTGCTTCCTGGCTTCGTAGTCGTAGATGCCACTGGCAATGATGCCCGAGAAAACCAGGGAGCCTGCGGGGTTTGCGACTGTAAGGAAGTTGTACAATGCTCCGAAATTCTTCACGCCAAATAGTTCGGAGGCAGCAGCTGGCACGATCGCCCAGTGGGCGCCGTACCCGAGCCCGATAAGCAATGTGCCAATGTACATTGTGCCGGGCCAACCCATTGCGAAGATGAAGTGTCCAATTGCCATGAATACTTGAGCTGTCGCCAAGGCAATTGCCCTTGGATACGCGTAATCCCTGAAGAAACAAGAGAGCAAACAAAAAATGAGAACAACTGGGGACATGTTTCTCAACAAAGATAGCCGCTGTATTCGAGCTGTTGGAAATTTAGTCTCAATATGAACAGAGCAACTCAATCACTACATGATTGATTATTCAGAACACTGCTCATGATCGACAAAAGGATAATTCGGATGTTGCCTATTAGCTGTCTGCCGTCAGTTTTATTCTTTTTGTTAGCTCACTCATCTAATAATTGTACTAGTTCTGCATGTGTTTCGAGACATATTCTTGTTTGCTTTGAATTTCCCAGGCTAGTGCCTTTTTGTTTTTAACAGGTTAGGAACCAATTGTGATGATACCACTAAAAACTGCTTTCTCATTCAAAAGATATTCAATCAATAATAACTGAAATGGGCAAACGTTTGTTTTGGTATAGCTCTAGTTATAAATGTATTTTGAGAAGAAGCTTGGTCAGCATGAACATTAAATTAGTGCTGCAGAACACACTCTCCATTGGAGAACGCACTCTTCCATATGAACTAAACAAAATATTGCTCGTAGATGAGATGCAAGGGTCAGCAAAGAGGTGCCTCATTGTTCTTACTTGACAATAATCTCTGAAAAGAAGCCCCCAGAAATACGTCCAAGGAAGTTCCAAATGCTAATCATTGACACAAAAATGTGAGAATCCTCAAAACCCAATGACTGACTCATTTGCCCAAGATTATCAATCACAGTAAGACCTGATCCTGACCCCAACAGAAGGGAGAAAAATAGAAGCCAAAAATCTGCCTTGATCATTGCCTGCAGCAACGTGAAATCCTCTCCTCGTCGTGGACCTTTCCTCCTTTTAACCCTAACGGCACCAACAGCAGCTGCCTGGAATAGCTTAGCCTGCAATTCGGCAATCCTCTTTTGCCTCTCAGAGGCTGGAAGTAGATCAATTTCTTTCGGTTTTTGCTCGTCCACCTCGCTGAGTATAACTTCTTGCTCTTCAGACGATACTGAACCACTTGCTTCTTCTCTCCGAGGTGATGTTAACAGCGCCGTGTAGGCACTCTCGTCGTCATTTGAGAAGAAGCTCAGCATTACAGGGATGACTATTGGAACTAGCAAAAGAACCATTAGAATGATGGTACACAAGATTGTCAATGAGTGGCTCAAGCCAACAAGGTCTTCCAGCAGCATCACACCCATCAGATAGGCGGCCAAGACTAAGCAGACGCTGTATACAAACGTGAAACTTGTACCATCAGATGGCCGTACTTGTCTGTGACCATTAACTGGTCTAACAATGAACATTAAAGCTATGACTACCATTGTTGGGCCAACAGCAACCATGAATATCAGTGCGGCATCATCAGGCGTGTGCATTATTGCATAAACCTGTGTTAAGATTGCACCACTCAAACCAGCAAATCCCTTGAGGATACCAACGATTGGTCCACGGTTCTTGGGAAAGTTCTGAACACATGAGACGAGTGCAGCAGTATTGAAGTATGTCTCACCATTATTTCCAACAAAGATTAGCATGCACATCTGCGGAGAGACGGGGGAATTTAGTGCAAGAGCCGACAAATCTAATTGAAGGAATAAGAATGTAAACAAAGGTCAGATTAGATACTATAGAAATTATGGAATGGTCCAGGTTTCCAAATGCCGCAAACAGAAATGTGGAGATGGAAATTAGTGCATTTAAAATTAGAAGTACAAATGAATATTAAGTCTCCTCCACCTTCAGACAGACAATGACACTAATTATGTGTTTTTAGTATTTTACTGAAGACTGAAGTCATCCTCTGTTGCTTTGATGTTTCACATAGCAAATTAATTTGTAAAGCAAAACATAGCAAATGATTAACTCACAATCCTAATCTTGGAAACTCAAAAATGTTAATTCACTTGTTTAACCAGAATTTTTAGGCGATTCTGTTGCGGCTGTATTAGACAGGCTGATAATAGTAGTACAGAGTAAAATTTTCAGGTTGAACATTGTTAATTGACATGAACTATATCAAATCTCAGTGTTTTTCAGGATATTAGATAATGAAGGTTAACTAAAGAGACATGGGAGGCGAGAAAGCGACCACTAAGACTTCCCAAGAATAATATAGGTGCACACCGATGACTCGGAAGCATATTCGACATGCTGTGTGTTAGAATATTCTTAGTACACACAGCAGAAACAGTTTTAACTGTTTTGAGCCAATAAAAATCTGGCAAATATTTCTGAACATAGCTTTCAACATTTTGGAGGAACAGAAAACATTGAAGTCCAACAGCAACTGTGTTCCAAAATAAGGAATTCACCACCTTCTCTTCTGTAAATGGAAGTCGAATAGCGACTCTCCATCATTGGGGACAGGCGTGCAGTTAGGATGCGTGATTGACTGACCCATGTTTGCTTTCAGATGATGAGCAAACTGGTCTCGCGTGTTCACTAAAGGGAACTAGTACATACATACAGTAGCATAATTGAAGGAAGAAGACATGATTAGTTTTCAGTCCAAATCCAGAAGCTTCAACCGTACAACTTAATAATTATACGAAGCACAGTAGAACATGAGTTTCTTCCACCACAGCATCGTGCACGCTTCAATTAGCACAAAAGTCACAGGGAATTTTCTTAGCATTAGAAGAGAAAAAACCCAGCTCAATCTGCAGTAGCACATGAGGCTCCAAGAACAGGAAGGTTTGATGCGGCTATGGCTATTGCAGAAAGGAGAAGCAAATGGGAGGACTATAATGATTGGAGGGGCAGGTGACGGATCTTACCGCCCAGAGCGGTGGCACGGGGACGCGGTGGGTGACGGCGAGCCAGACCCAGCCGTATCCGACGAGGTTCTGCGCGGCGCCGATGAGGAGCGCGGCCCAGAGCGGGAGCACGGCGCAGAGCGTGCCGGCGAGGAAGCCGACGCTGTCTCCCAGATCCTTGGCGACGCCGAGGCTGGCCACCTGGCGCTGGTTGTAGCCAAGCGAGGACTTGATCGCCGGCGACAGGCTGCCGAACAGGTACCCCACCCCGGCGACCGACTGCATCCACATCGCCGCCACGAACACCAGCCACCGGTTCCGCAGGAACCCCCGCACCCGGCTCCGCACCTCCGCCATTGCTTGCAGCACCTGCCCCAAAACTCCAATCCAAATCAACACACTAGAACTAGAGTCCGCCCCGAGAAGAAGCTAATGCAAGAAGCTGAGCTGGGCCTATTAACAGGACGGATTTGGGACGGGAATGAGAAGCCAAGCCGACGGTTTCTTGGAGGCAAGCAAAGAACCGGCCGCGAGGAGCCGGAGTGACGACGACGACTCTTGATGAGGAGCCGCGGATCGGGATGCGGAACGAGCAACGATCGGCCCCGCTGGCGTTGTTTATTGCTGAGAAGAACGTGTGTCCGCGCATAAATGGCCAGGGCCGAGCGAGCAGGAGCAAGTCGAGAAAAGAAAAAACAGCGGATTTGAGCTCGTTTTTCTCTGGGATGGGAGGCGGCAGCCGGTGGGTAGTAGGCCCGCGTGGGAGATGGCGAGAGGAGGGAGGCAAGGCGACAAGCCCGGACTTTGACACGACACTGTGCGCTCCGATGCGCGCTGCGCGGTGGATGGGCACAGCAGGCGGGCACGAGGCGGGTCGCAGGTGACGATGGTGCGCATCGGGGAGACAGTGATGAGCCGAGGGTGTGGATGGGAATTGGGTGGGCGGCGGCGCGGGGCAAGGCCCATCTCGCGACCGGCGAAACGTGTGGATGTGGATTCCACGAGTGTTCCGTCACCGGCAGCGGTGGCGGAAAACTCCAAAGGCAGGGGACGGGACGGGCCACGAGAAATGGTCGTTTCTGTGCGGTTTAAGCGGCGTAGGGTTGTTTCGCTGTCCCTGCCCGGGGCTAAACAATTCGGCGCCCGCACGTCGCCTAGCGTGCTTTAGCCCGGCGTGGCCTGTTTCTTTCTCATATTATTTCCCCTTCTTCCTTTTCTACGATCTACTCTACGATTCAGGAGGGGTCATCACGGGATGACGGAAAACGGCCCTTTCATTTAATTAAAATGAAAAAAAATTCGAAAAACTATCAACTGATGATGGCAGCGCATGGAGTTTAAGTTAGAGTTTACGCTTATTTCTGGTGAAGCTTAATTCAGTTTAGCAACACTGGATGAACATACTATGCTCATCTACATCTGGACCGAGCAAATTTGACCCTTCAAACGTCTGCGGACGTGTAAACCAACCTGTGGTTGGATGGTTAGAGGGACTGTGGTATACCCAGCCAATCAGGGTTCAAATCCTGGTGCTCGCAATTTCCGGCGATGCGCATTTAGTGGGAGTAGACGTTCCCGTCGATGCGTTCATAGGGTGTGCGTATATGAGCGCTTATGTCTATACTGATGTTCAAAAAAAAAACGTTTGCGGACATGCCTGATCAGTGTCCAGACGTGTTTGTTTTGACTTTTTATCTGTTCATCCACGCAGTCATGTCTCACTATTTTCTCCTACACGTACGGTCACATGCATGTGATTGGTGGAGAAAAAGAGAAAAAAGGGGAAAATAATAAAGAAAGAAAAAAGATGATCCGTGATGGAGTTATGCACAGAGCCACCACTTTCGTGTCATGATTAGTGAAAAATCATCAGTTTATGATTCGTGACATTTTGCAGTGGCAAAAAACACGGAGCAAAATTTTGAGCTCGTTTTGACGTGGCTGATCGCTTGCTGGCCGATAGCGTTGACGGCGCACTGTTAACGGTCGTTAACAACCGGTCGGAAGTTCCCCCAGGTAATATTCAAGGAAAACACAATCGTCTAAACTTGGGATGACCCAGATGGCATCCCCTATTTCGTCTATAATCTATCAATATATTACTTGAAGCTATATTTTATTTATCACATGATATGAGTTCTATTTGCAGCATCTTGTGCCAAAGTTTTATTTTTGTTTGCTTGTTAGTTTGCCACAATCATTGTTTGCTAGACACACCTTCTGAGAAAGACATACATTCATTGCAATTTGTTAGAATACTCTATAAGCTTCACTTATATATGTTAGAGCACAACGGTGTTCATATTTTATAGAAATGATTGCACGCTTATGCTTCGCTTAAATCATTTTGAGAGTCTTTAAATAGGAAGTGGTAATGAGCACGGGTTATAAGACTAGTCCAAAAAGGATAGGTATTTAAGGATGATATAATAAAAACTTTCATGTAGATCACTAAATATGAAACGTATGTTTTAATTATATTGATGTCGTAGTATGAAAGGGTATGAGTTCATGATCATTGGTTAGTGATGAGGTCACCTACTACAAGTAGGGTCAAGGACCTAACATCTAAGGCCCACCTAGGGGCCCACACCATTGTTGACACGTCTCTAGACCATAGACACATCCGGATGCATATAACAAGAAGTCCACTCGGACGCACCGACAACACTCGAACGTCTTTCCTCCAGTCGACCCAACCATCACCACCCAGACAAAGAAGGTGAAAGAACGACGTGAGAACTGCAATGGTTGAGTAGTCTTAAGTCGGACTTTAAGCATAGTCATGGTTATCTGTAACTGTCGTAGTTGTGGCTATTAACACTAATAACTTTCATAGTTATATCTATTAAACCACCCTTGCATCGTGGGAGTAAAGAGGATGCGGCGCACTCTATATAAGTTGCCCTCTTCCTCCTGAGCAAGGGTTAAGCACTCTTTGGAATCATAACCCCAAGAGAAAACAAGCCTCATGGTACGAGACATAGGGTTGTTACCTCCTCCGAGAGGGTCCTGAACTCATAAATATCGAATGTTACATCTGCACCGTAGCTAGGCTCCGCCCGTCTTTCATATCCCTAGTACTCATTGTCAGGATCGTAACCCCAACAGTTGGCGCCCACTGTGGGGTTGCGCGTCTAGCAATTTTACAGCATGGGTAGAATTTCATCGTCATCATCATGTTAGTCAGCGGTGAGATCCGTTTTGGAGCGCTCAGCTTCATCGCCGACAACTCAGCATGGCTCCGAGAGGCCCCACTTGACGTGGAGGCGCTACCGTGGCGCGGCGCACTTCCACGCATCTTCATTCGGAGTCCTGCTCTAACATCCATCAAACCCATACCGAGTGGCTCCCCTCCTTCCCGCTGGATGCCCTCGCAAGCGCTCCGAGTGCTCACAGCTGCAATGTTGGATCAAGCACGCCGTGGCCCTTCAGGTCGCGGCAGGGCATGTGGCGGCTCTCGAGTCTAATGAGCCCGCCCTTGACCTTTCTGACAGAATCCACGAGGACTCCACCGATGAGTCCGAGTGCGAGCGTGTTGAGTCCACAACCAAGGTCCTCATGGCCGGTCATGCGAAGCATCACGGACCCCCGAGGTATAAAGGTCCTGAGGATGGTCGCACGAGCATGCCAGCAACGACGAGGGAGATGACCGTTCACCCCGCCATGAGCCGTATGTTCCCAAGGCTCTCACTAGGGAGCGTGAGGAGCTCCGTCGGAAGAATGAGCAGGCCCTACACACTCCCACCACTGGGACGACTCCCGAGGCTCTCGCAATGGAGTCGGCGCGCTTGGCCACTCTGGCCGAGCGAGACTGTTATGGCATATCTCTCTCAAGGTAGTTTTGGTGATTGATGACAACAAGTTTGCGGACTAATCATGTGCTTTGAGTAGTTCACAGATTCATCCCTGGCACGAGACGTTTTCTTCCCTTCGGAGTGTCTTTCAAGACGGTGTAGCTCTTTCGTTTCTCTCTCGGTGGACTAGTAGCGTAGAGGGCACCGTACTATCAAGAGGGGGTCCACCGGGGTATTGCATGGGTGGAATCAGCACGTACACATCAGCTTCTCACCCTCCGAGCTTTTCCATTCCATTGAAGAGATCTCTCCTCTTTTCTTTGTCCTGTCTAGGTCCCAGCGGTAGTACCGCGCAACCCAGCGGTAGTACCGCTGAGGAGCCACAAGCGGCAGTACCGTTCCGCAGCAGTAGTACCGCTGGGGTGCCTGGCACCACCGCCTCGTCCTCAGCCTCTTTAGAGAGATCCTCTCTCTCTTCTGTGTCCCAGCGGTAGTACTGCACTACCAGCGGTAGTACGGACGAAGGGTCACAAGCGACAGTTCCGCTCCGCAGCGGTAGTACCGCCCGTGACCCCGCTGTCGTAGTACCGCTGGGCTGTCTGTCTCCTACCGCCTCGACTCGAGGGCTCTTTTTCTCGTGTCGGGTTTTGCGGCACTAGTTGCGGTTGTAGAGGCGGTAGTACCGTTTCAGGAGCGGTAGTACCGCCCTTACCACCGTGGTAGTACCGCGTTGGGTCCTATTCCCTACTAGTCTTCTCTGCGCGGCAGTACCGCTGGCTGGAGCGGTAGTACCGCTGACCTAGCGGTAGTACCACCCCCTCTTAGCGGTAGTACCGCCCTATGCGGGGTTGGTTGGTGGGGGCAACGGTTGGATTGTTGCCCCCACTATAAAAGGGGTCCCCTTCTTCCCTTTGACCTACCTCTTCCCCCTCAAGCTCCATTAATGCTCAAGCTCCATTAAATGCTCCAAGCTCCATTTTCACCCGATCTATCTCTCTAGCCAATCAAACTTGTTGATTTGCTTGGGAGTGGTTGAGAAGGCCCCGATCTACACTTCCACCAAAGGATTTTCGATTCCCCCACTCATCCCTGGCGGATCTTGTTACTCTTGGGTGTTTGAGCACCCTAGACGATTGAGGTCACCACAGAGCCATAGTCCATTGTGGTGAAGCTTCGTGGTTTTGTTGGAAGCCTCCGATTAAGTTGTGGAGATTGCCCCAACCTTGTTTGTAAAGGTTCAGTCGCCGCCTTCAAGGGCACCAATAGTGGAATCACGGCATCTCGCATTGTGTGAGGGCGTGAGGAGAATACGGTGGCCCTAGTGGCTTCTTGGGGAGCATTGTGCCTCCACACCGCTCTAACGGAGACGTACTTCCCCTTAAAAGGAAGGAACTTCGGTAACACATCCTCGTCTTCACCGGATCCACTCTTGGTTAGCTCTTACCTTTACTTGTGCAAGCTCTTTAGTGTTACTTCTCTTGCTTGCTTGTATGCTTGTTGTTATTGCATCATATAGGTTGCTCACCTAGTTGCACATCTAGACAACCTACTTTGATGCAA